AAATCGATGCTAAATATTTATTTTCAGATTAATACTGATTTACTGATTTATTTTCGGCATATCATAACGATAGTTAAAGTTACGTAAGAACTAAGAGAGTACATTAAATCAATTGTCATATTCCAACATGACGTTTCATTAAAGACTAGTTTTCGATATGATTGATCTGGGCTACCTTTATCTATCAAAATAAATTGCAAGCCATTGTTTTAACTAATAAACCTCTCTATTAACATTGAGAAGGTAAAATATTATATATCAATAAATACTGCCCGAAAACTAAATTAATGTAACGGCACCATAACATGAATAACTTCAATAATGAGTTGCCTCGCAAGCTATTTTATTGAGACTCATCGATTGAAGCAATTGGTCGGTCCGCAGTTGGAGCTGAAGCCGGGCCAAACAAGTATAAATTATGCTTGGATTTGCCCAAACACAATTTCATACACTTAACATCACACAAAATTGGTACATCCCCGCAAAGCACTAGACAATCAGCGTAACATTTTTGGAAATATTTCTCTTGTGTCGGGACCAAAGATTTCGCTTGTGTCGAGGCAAACAACATCAACATCATAAAAATTAAAACTTGTATCCTCATATTGTTCATTTTAGCAAATCGTAAGTTGTTTAGGTTTCACGTGCTAAATTGTTGGAATGGGCCGGCCAGTTATATAGAGTTTAAACTTGAAAGAGTGTGTGACTGATGATTCAATGAACCCAACTCATTAGATTTTCGTAATATGTAATTTAGGGAAAAAAATTCTCACTTGACCACTAGTTATATAAGGAATATTTGTAGCGTGATATTATGATATAGTGAATAAATTATATCACTAAACATTTCAAATCACTGTAATTACGAATATTAATTTGCAATAGTTCTTTGTGGCGGATTTATACAAAATAAGAATAAGATTGATCAAAATTAGTAGGCCTTTTTAAGATTGTTTTTTAGCATCTATCATTACATAAAAAGAATAATTTTTTTACAAATTTAGAAACCTTTTCCCGCTAAAATCATTAAATATATTCTACATATAGTAATTGTTGGACATATCTGAATAGACAAAAAAATCGGCTCATTAATTGTGTAAAGAATTGTTTCTCTTTTTCCTGTTTTTTAGTTTATCAAAATCGTTGTTTGACAATAAATATTTGTTTTTCTTTTTCCTATTTTTAGTATAAATCTACACGAGCTTATCTCTTCTGTTACAAAATCTCATTGTTTGACAATAAATATTTTTTTTTCTTTTCCTATTTTTAGTATAAATCTACACGAGCTTATCTCTTCTGTTACAAAATCTCATTGCATACGTCTCACGTGTTTAAAAAATCTCATCCATTATCTATACAGATTTGAAAAAATAAAATAAAATAGAAACCAATTCATAAGTACTACTAGAAATCTATTTTCTTTAAAAAGAAAAAATAAAATAAAATAGAAACCAATTCATAATTACTACTAGAAATCCATTATCTACTTTAAAAAGCTAATTTTCATCGGTCTAATTACTAATATTTTTATAAATATTATAAGCTAACCATACAAAAAAGTATAATAATAATAATTTTGAAATGGTGTGTATTCAATTTTTTTTATATTCTCTTATACAAAATAATTTTACATTGTTTGACCCCGAATCTTTAATTTATAATTATTAAGTATTATTTATCCTTCTCTTTAATTTATAATTTTTTTTCTTCCTTTTTTTAAATATGATAAATAGTAGTTTACACTTCCGCCATTGAGTGACTCAAACTCGAGGTCTATTTATAATATTGTTAATTTAATATTGTTCCCGTGCATCGCACGAGGTACACACTAGTTATATAATTACAATTTGCCATAAATATAATGATATCTTTTATTAGTTTCTTTTTTATAATGTATTTGAATGAGTTCAAATGAGAATGATTGTCAGTGAGGAAAATAGAACCATAAGATCTGATGTATTTAACAATGAGGAATCAAGATTACACAATAATAAAGGGCATAATGGACATTTTCTTCACCCTCGTGCTGCGCTAGCGTCGCGACGGCGTCCAGGTCACATCCTTCTCGTGGCCACCCTCTAAAGGTCCCATGTCCACCAGCGACACGGATGCATCAAGCAACAGAAATGCACATTTGTGGTTCATAGATCTACACTATACATTCACAACTCTTGCCATTTAGTCGGTGCTCCAACTCAACGTAATTGTTGTCGGTTCATATATATACATTCACATTTTGGGTTCATAGATCTGCACATTTGTTGCCCCGTCCCCAGAATCTCTACATATAGTCGCTGCTCCAACTCTACGTAAATGTTGGGAGTACTTTTTTAAAAAAACAGATCTATGATATCGTCATTGGATTCAATTTTCATCTTCGTAACTCAAGGACTTCCATCAAATGCGGCCCACAATATGTACTCAAAATTACAAGGATCGACGTTTGATAATGTTTGAACACGAGAAACTACATCAGAATACATTTGTGGGCCAGAATTTATTCTCATCAGCTCTGCGACACGACCAACCTAGTTACCCATGTAAATTTTACCACCATAGTGCACGCATACTCTAACACGGTTGCTAGTCATTTAATTGTAATTTTTAAATAAAATAAATTAAGAGCCAAATAAATTTGAAAAAGAATGCAGTAGATATGGAGCTTTAAAGCTTAAACAAAAAGAAATGCAATTGAATGCAAGCAAGAAGAAGAAGAATAAGAAGAAGAAGAAGAAGAAGAAGAAGAAGAAGAAGTAGAAGAAGAAGAAGAAGAAGTGCTAAATGGTAGTTAGATTTCTGAAAAGAAAAAAAAAATCCACACCTTGCATGCCTTATTTACGTGAAAAACAAAGAAGTCGATCAATGTGATACGTAACTATTCAAGTCATATGTGAAATATGTTAGCATATTGATAAATTATGTGAAGTTGGTATTGGATATGTCTATTTTTTTATTTTTTTTTTTTATTTTTTTTTACGCAAAAAAAAGACAATCATAGTAATGCATAAATTATGCGAATAATATGCAAAATATTTTTTACGGATATGCGATTCCTGATATGGATCAACAAAAACTAGCGAATACTCCTGAATTATGCGCCTTTCAATTTGGATATGTTATTCGTGAATATGTGAATATATTATGTATAATCGTTAATTATACGACATTCTAGATTTTGATAAGCAAGTCGTAAACTATATGAAAAAACGTCGCATAATAATAAAATATACGACTTTCGATTGGGATGTGCAATATCTAAATATGCGATACTTTAATGCATATGTTAAATTATACGGTGGATTTAGATATGCGATTACAAAATATGCAAAAATGATTCGCATGTGTATTAATTATGCATCCGATTTGGAAGCGAGTCGTGAACTATCTGAAAACATTTTGTATAGTCATAAATATGCGGCGATCAATTTTGATATGTGGCAACTATGTATGCGAAATAACTTTCACATAATATTGATTTGTATAATCATAAGTTTGCGATTCGTGAATATGCAAACATGCTATGCATAATCATTAATTATAAGGTTTACGGATTTGGATATGCGAGTTCTAAACTATGTGAAAAATATTTCACAAAATTCTAAAATATGCGACGTTTTATTTGGATATGTGATAGCTGAATATGCGAAACTATCTCGTATATGGTAAATTATACGGTGTATTTGGATATGAGATTACATAATATGCAAAAGTGTTTCACACACTTGTTAACTATGTGTTCGACTTGGATAAGAGAGTCGTAAAATATGCAAAAAAATGCACATATAAATATGCGGCTATCGATTTGGATATGCGTTAAATATATGATATAGGATACCATACTAGGTCAACTAGACCCGAGAGGTATCCTGACTGAACTGGGTGAGCCGACAGGTCAAGCAAGAACCGAAGGTGCAACAAAAGGAAGAGTCCTCAGGTCGAGGAGGACATCGCGGATCCAAGGAGCACCGACAAGACGAGCTGGGGCCCTCGGATGGTCTGGTTTAAAACCGACCTGAAGGCATGACAGGTCGATGGATCGACCAGATGAGCAGAGAATATGAGCTCGGCACTGGCAGCACTCCACCTCGACGTAATTTGGGTCAGTCGCACGAATAGATTATCTAAAGTGAAGGGGTTCCCCAACATCCCAATTTCTTGAATGCCCATCTTGCAAATGAATTCCTTGACGAGGTGAAAGGATGAGTCCAATATTAGTTTGCCTCATCTTTTTTCTTCATGGATGATTAGATCATTCCAGTCTCCTCCGATGAACCAATTGCTACCCCCATTTAGCTTTTTCAGAGTTTAGAAAGTGTCATTGTGATTAGTGCTTGCATATAAAAAGATCTCCAACAAGAAACTGCCTTTTGATCCTCCTAAAATTGAACCTCAATAGAAAAAGAGTGCTTGATTATCTGGCTAATCTTAGCTGAGGAATTCCAAAGAATGACAAGACCTCCACTCTGCTAAGGTATACTGTAAAAGTTTGGCTTTCAATTTCTGACAATACTATTTTGAATAAAGATCATGTTTTAGTCAAATGCATTATTGCAATTTATTTATTTATGCGAACATAGTTCCTTTATTTACATCGTAGATAATATTGTTAGATGTGTCGAACAGAAAGACATATTACCGATGCCTTCCAAAATATAAATAAATTATTCACAGCCGAGACGTAATTGAACTATCTGTCATGAAAAGGTTGTAGTGCGATTTTGAAGTTGGTGTTTGAACGATGAATTACACTAGTACATCTCAAATGTGATCTTCAAAATTTTTTTCTCTAGCTTCTCTATACCTTTCTTTCTCTACACCCATAGCACCTTCTTCTCCATTTGGCCAGCTTCATCTTTCTTTTTCTCTTTCTGGCGTCATTCCCCCTCCAGGAGCCTCCTGATGAACCTCGAACAGTCAACCGGCGGCCGCCAACTAGCGGCGGTTACCCCAAAATCGAACAATGATCCGTGAATGGCCTCCCAGCAATTTGGTGTACCTTCTCAGTCTGCTGGCGGCCCAAGCTTCCTCCGATCAGCAGCCTTTCTTCTCTCCGGCAACCAAACCCTTAGGCCCTCCGCTTGGTTCTGCACTTACCATCGTCTCCGTAAACATCGGTTTGACCTCCGAATCCCTAAAGGAATCTCTCGCTACTGCTCCAAACGTCACCTTGATTTCGAGCGCTGTCTCTGCCAATTTTCCCCCGGCCATTGGTGCCTCGTCAAATGAGATTCCCGCTCTTTCCGTTTTCCCCTGGAAGCTGCACAATCCCAAGGGGAAGCCACCGGAATTCCTTCAAGCAACGTTGCTGGATTCTCTGCTCTCCGTCAGACGGCGGCGATGATCAATCCTTAGCGTGCCATAGTCATGTATGCTATTTCTCCTTTGTGCTACTCTTTTTGGCCGGTAAAACCCTCTTTTTTCCTCCATCTGGGCCCGCTTTTCCATAGCCCAATTATCCACTATTTTTCGGGTCCAATTATGTTGGGCCCTTTTTCACCCCAGGCCCTTCCCAGCCAGCCCTTCCACTCTTTACCCCACTCCGTTCCAATAAAAACCCACACTGCCCAACCCATTTCCTCTTCATCCCCTCTCACCTCAGCCTCCACCATGCCTAGCCTGATCCTAACCCAAGCCCTCCAGTCCGGCCCGAATCTAACCCAGTCTGGTTTATAGCCAGTCTAGCCAATCCAAAACGGCCCAAACCCGACCCAACCCTTCCATTCAGCCTCTGTACCGATAACCCAAACCCAAATCGACAGCCTTGGCCCGACAAAATCCTACCTCTCAGCTGCCCAAAAAACCTCCCACCCTATCCTCTCTCCTATGGCTCTGTTTCTCTATCCGGCAGCATCCCAGAGTTTCTTTTTTCTTTTTTTCCCTTTGGAAGTCTCTAAAATGTCGAAGGACCTCAAATATTCCCTCGTAGGTTACTTCTTTTACGCCATGCCCTCCAACGGGGCTATTCCGTCGAATCTCGCTCTCTTGGGTTTCACCAGATGCAATTTTTTTTTTCCTTCAAGTCAATCATGTCTTGATCAAAGTCGACGACCCAAAACGTCCACCAAATGTTGGTTGAAATGCAAAATCTCTATTCTAAATTTTTCTATGCGGATTTTCAAATGGTCCGCCGATTTCAATTTAAAAAAAGAACCACCTTTTATCCCGGTTTGGATCAAAATCCTAGCTCTCCCCCTTCATTGCTTTGATTTAAAGGCCCTTCAAACAATCTCCAACATCTTTGGCACCTTTTTAAAAGTCGATGATGCCACACTAAAAAAACTTGGCTCCAATATACTCTCTTTTGCGTAGCCCTCAATCTTGAATCCCCCCATCCCACTAGTATTGTCGTTTCTTGTAGACACAAATGCATCGAACTCACTGTCGAGGTCGAACGCTTACCAAAATATTGTTCCTATTGCTCTCATGTGGGACATGATGTCTCAACTTGTTACATAAAAGATCCAACCATTCATCCCGCCAAAATTAACAAAGGAAAAACCCCCCACATTGAACCCTCTCTTCATATTTATTCTCCTTCTTCTGCTCTTCCGACCTTCCCTCCCACTAGCCCACCCAACCCCTCTTCTCTTGCCCGGATCCGACTCCTTTGGACTTGCCACCTTCTATTGGCAAGGCTCCACCCAACCCCTCCTTATTAAGCGCAGTTCCTTTCCTGACCCAAATCCCTGACCCCTCTTTTTTTCCTGAAGGGGGACCAAGCAATGTGCATGACTCATTGGAGCCAGGTTCACCTAAGCCCAACTCAGTGATTATTGAGTCTTACTCTTCTGATTCTGAATCGGACTCCCAGACCACTCGTTCCCCTTTTTCGAATTTTAAGATGACTTCATTGTTGCCCCAAACTTGCGTAAGAAAACAATCATCGCTCTCCCCTCCTCCCCTGTCCCGCCACACTGTCCTCAGACTCACACCAACTCTTCAGGAATAAAAACAGCGGATTAAGCACAATACGAGGATTAAGAAAAAACTGGACCATGGGATGCTTTTCGAGATTCATTGATGAAGTGGCAACTTTTTTACATGGCCTTGTAGGGACATTGGCCCCCCAAAACTTATTTTATCCGTGCTATGTAATTTGGGCTTATAGGGGACTTGACCCTCCCCATTCCACCGACTCAGTAGGGGAATAAGCCCCCCCCCTTCTCCCCCAAAACCTCGACTCGTTTTCAATAAAATTCTTTCCCCTCTTTAAAAAAAAGTAAATAATATAGACCTCTGTAATTGATTGGTTCTCTAAACCCATAAGATAATATAAACTTACATATGCATTCGGATCCTGCTTATTTGATTTAACAAGGGTGAGGCTTATTATGGTAGACTGATTGACTACGTATTTTGGTAAGTAAGGGTCAAATACATGATGTGTTGTAGAGATTATTTATGGTCATTGTGTTCCCGTCCGCTATGTTGATGACGTTCCTGAAATGAGCTCAGGAATGTTTATTATGTCAAAGCCTGTAGGCGGAATTTGTTTCTGACATGATAAGAATGAGCTGAGTGGTACTAGTTTTGGAAATAGATGTTGATTAATTAAATTTTCAGTAACTAAATTAATTGACGGATGTTATATCTTAAACATGGGGAGGTAATTTGAGCAATATTAGCCGGGAATGAATCATTTGTAATTCGGACACTAAATGGGGAGTTCAATAATATTATTATAGTGGCGTTTAATATTATTCGGATATGAGCGGAGTGGGCTTGGCTCACAGTTAGGCCCATACTTGGAGAGCCCATATTTAGCATATCTTTAGGGTCCTTATTGTAGCCTATATATATACACCAACTCATTAGCCTCTCCAAACACATATACACGCTAACACGCAGGCCCTCTCGGTTTCTTGAGCAAGAGAATCGGCCAAAAACTGAGTGCAAATGAAAGAGAGAAACACGTGAGTGTTTGTGTTAGGATTAGGAATCCGATAAATCGTTCCCCCTGACGAATCAAAATGGGTGCAAGGTGATGGGACAACAATTTAAGGTTAATACATTCGTCCATCCCAACAAAAAATATACAGCCCCGTAACCTCATCCACTAGCGATCAGACCATCACCGAAGGCAGTGATCACCGACGGACCGAGGCGTATCAACCGGCGGTCGAGACGCGCGACCTACAACGACTGCGAGCTCCCAACATGACACGAAGACGACTGACACCACACGCAACTGCACGACCTGTGATCCCAGCACGACCCACACGCAACACGATAGCCCTCCTGCGTGACCCGTGCGCCCAAAGCAGCAGCCCCATGAGACTCGGCAGCGACGCAATCCGCGACATTGTGCGACCAGGCTCGGCTCAGTGACCTCCTTGGCGTTTGACGAACCCGACGAGACAAACGATCTTCATCAAAGGAAATCTACAGCGTTTCAGAGTCGACAATTTTGAAATGTAAGTCCTCGAATCCTATCAATAATTTTCGCTGCAATAGGATTAAATTCATTAAGTTATTCGATACACACATAATCTGACGTTTTGCACCGAACCATCACACTCTTCTCAATTAGTTCATCTGAGTCCCATCTAGAACCTACTCCATAATTCCTAAAGATAGTATTAAAAAATTTGTCCTTTTTTTGGTTCCAGAGAAAACCAAAATTGGATGGCGGAGTCTCCAGGACTCCTTTAACTAGGAGACTGCAGAGGGGCCTCCCAATCATCTACAATTCCATAGAATGATTTTCATTGATCTTGTTGGGGCCATTTTGGGCTGACCTCCCTCACCTTACAGACTAAACCTTTTGCTTTTTTGCATGAGGATTGTTTTGTTCCTGGAATGTAGCCAAATGGATATCCTGGCCAAAAACTGTTGGTCAAATGAGATCATATGACTACAACATAAGTGACTTTAGGTAGCAGCATTTATTGTAATACTTTACAAATTATTGGTTTATGTATCATATTATTGTAACACTTTTAATATAAGTGTTACAAAAAATTAGCAAAAGTATCATATAAGTGTTACCAAAAACTACCAAAAGTATTACCTTTGACTTTAGGTAGCACAAACAACTGCAGCGCCAATATTGTGTTACCTATTTTTTATAGTAACATTTTATAGTTCTTACGTAACATTTTATAGCTTTTACGTATCATTTTTTTGGTGCTACCTAAAGCCATTTATGTATAAGAATCCTCTTCCCTCTGGTTATAATCTAAGAAGAACTATTACTTGAAGGTTTGTTGATTGGAAGGTTGCTTTCTCTTCCAGCATTTGCCTTTTGGTTTGGGCTGCACTATTGGAGGTTCGGATGGGGACTCAATCAAGGGTGCATGGGTCTTATTTGTATGCCCTTTGATGAGGGCCAAGGTTGAAGTTTTTGTCACCATAATATGTTGGTGAGGAATAATGGTTTCACTAGGTTTTGTGGTTGGCTTTTGGATTGGTGGGTTGGAAGTTTGGAGGGTAGAGATGACTTTAAATTGTGGTTCAAGAAGGATTGGCGGCTGGATGGTTCACTTGAGGGGCAGGGGAGTATGTGTTGTTAAATTGATTGGATTGGTTATTAGAGTGGGTTGCAGAGGTTTTCTGATTACTATTGTTGGTGTTTAGGGTGTCCGAGTTTGTGCTTGAAGCACTACTGTTCCCAGAAAAGGAAATTTTTGAGGCCGTTAACCACTCTCTATATTGCCCCTCAGTCAAGTTTGTAGTGCCCCGTTCGAATATTAAGAGTCGATTTATCTGTTCTTTGTGATTGCTTTGCTTTTCTTTTATTTTCGTCATGAGCTCGACTAATTTCTCTAATAATCTTATTGATTATTGAGATGTCCTCGTCTTTTAATCAGTTAACTAAATAATTTTTGTAGATGTCCTCGTCTACTTAAATTATTCCAAGTCTATTTATTTCCGTTGTCAAGCGTCATGTTTGAATATAAAAAATTTTGGTTTTGTTGGATTTTTTGATTTTGTTTGGTTAATTTTGAAAAAAGTAGTATGGTTAGTTGTTAGTGAGTATATTGAAATAATATTTAGAAAAAAATAATTAAAATTGATTTGATGTAAAAGTAAGAGATAAATGATTTGAATGATGGTTAGTTAGAATATGTAAGTTGATGAATAGTGAATTAAGATTGATGTTATGTGTATGAATGATTGATCGATATTATTTAATTATATTGATAACATTGATGATAGTGGAGTTGAGTTAAAAAAAAATGGTTGAGTTAAAATGTTGGAATTTTTTTGAAATTTTTTGTATGCAAACATAACCGGGTTCGAATTTTCGAGAAAGTGTCAATATTTTTGTGAAACTTACTTAACCCTTTTTGTTCAAGCAAAGTCCAAGTTGTTAAAGCCTTATTTGGCCTTTTTGCTGAACAAAATCGGCCAAAAATGTTGGTTTCGTGCTAGGCCACTTTTGGCACCAATTTCACAAATTCAAATTTCAAACTCTAGAGGCTTGTTATAGTAAGAATTTTTCATCCCTTAATCTCCCTTTTTGACCGACTTCAATGCTCTTAATTTTCTAAAATTCGGCCATCAAGGGAAAGATATAGCTTTTAGTAACCTTTTGAGAGTATGGTAACTCCCTTGACCATCATATGTTCGGCCTCAATAAAATGCTTTCAAATTTCAAAAGGTTATGTGGCCCTTTTCGGTATTTATTTTGGTTAATCTATATCTATATCTATATCTATATTTATATTAAAAGGTATACCATTTATCAGTAGTATAAAAAAAAGTCAACAACATTTATTGCATTACTATTTCTGTATTATACAATCTATACTTATATAAAAAAGATTCTATTTACTACATTTACTATCCAGAAAAGTCAACTGCATTAAATGTCATTACTATTTTGGTATTATAATATTTTATTTATTTAATTGATTTATTTATTTATTTTATTTTAAAAAGATAAGTATAATAAAAAGATTTTAATAATAAAAAAATCAAATACCAAATAAAAATGTACACTTTGACTTATTTGATTATATTTGGTATTTGATTATACCAAATATATTCCTATTTAGTATATACATTAAATACTTACTAAAGTATTTATTTGTTTTATTTGTCAAAGTTAAGTATAGATTTATTTATATTATCAAATCATAAAAAAATATTAAATCCATATTGTAAAAAAAAATCATATAATTTTATAACAATTCTACTACACTATTTAACAATATTTTTTTTTTATTATATAATAAAATAATAATTAAATATTATATGGTGAACAACAATAAGTAAAACTGTTACTTTCTCTTATATCAAGGGATAAATTTATATGCTAAAATTAAATTTTTATTAGTATAAATGTTTTAGTGAGATAATATATTAATTATTTTACAAGCTAGCCCTAACATGCTCATATTTAATGTTTTAAAAGATGTAGAAAAAAAACTTATAATAACTCTATTGTTTTTTAGACTTAAACGTTGATTAAAAGAGGTAAAAATTCCTAATTTTTTAGACTTAAACGTTGATTAACACCATAGATTGAGAGTTTATATTTAGTAAAATTCCTAATTGTAATAAAAAAATTAATTTTTGCTATATTTTAGAATATCTTTAAATTCATTATAAAAAAAAAGAAAAAAAAACTACAATGAAAAAAGCAAGTCAGCTATATATCGATTTGTTGTACTCCTCAAATCACATTCACAATTTGGCTACAAGGAAATGAAACTCATTGATTAAATATTATTTTGTCAGTAGTCTTAATGTACAAGAGACTTTAAGACTCCACTTGAATATTATAACACTTTTATTGAACATTGTACAATTTTCTTGCGTATTATAAACTTTTATTGAATATTGCATCTTATAATATAATATTCTCTAAATAAATATATCTCGTGCTTCGCACGGGTCACGTACTATATATATCCCGTACATTTTTCTTTATTCATGTATATAATTATAAGCCTGGATAAATAGCCTTAAAATTGTGCACCCCGTGCATCGCACGGGCTCTGTACTAGTCTATATAATTGACCAATCCTTATTGTCATAATTGACAGGATTTTGGGCGAGAAATTTTTTTGTCTATATTTGGCATTGAATTAATATTTATTTATTAACAAATCTGATGCATGAAAAACATAATTAATTTTTATACACTCAATGACTATTATTCATTAACTACAAATTTGCTTAAAATGAAATTTTGACCCTAGATTTATTAGATATATTTTCAATAGGATCTTATATTAATTTAATTATAATTTGTTGACACAATTCAAAAAAATATTATAGAAATTGATTTGATTAAATATATTATCATCTATTGTTGTAGGTATTAATTTAATTAATTATATTCACTATTCAGAAGTACTTAAAATATTTAATAAAATAATCAAAATAACTATGTTTATATCATAATGACTTAATAAATATTTTATAATATTTTTAAAAGTTTCTAAAATATTGTCAATTTAACTATAAAAAGGTACATTCTCATTGAGTATATCATATGCAGTGATAATACTATTGAAAATTTAAATAATATACTAATAAAAATAAAACTTGATGGTCGGGTGCAATTCAGAATTATAAATTTCACCTTAGAAGTATCTATGTACATTAAAAATCTATTCAATTTTTAAAAATATATTTTTTTTTTCTTATATACTATTTTATAAATGTACAATGTATAGTAATTTAAATTATAGCACTTGGTAATTATGGAAATATATAATATATCTAAATATTCGAATAGATACTCTTTAAGGGAAATGCTCATATGCCCACGGTGGACACATGTTAATATGCCCACCGCTTATGTATCATGCACACATTGGTGATGTTAAAAAATAAATAAATAAATAAATATAAATAAAAAATGGAAACTTAAAAATAAAATATTTAACCATAAAGAATTTGTGTGTTGCATAAGGATTGAAGTTTCTAAATATTAAAATTTATTTATCAAAGTTTTTAACATTTAATGCACTTAATAATTATAGCGGAAGATAAATATTATGGGTTAAACGTTGGTCAATTATCAAGCAATAAGCAAATTATGAATTGTTATAAAATTATAAGACTATGATAAACGACAATTTTATAAATACATACAAGTAATTTGTATGCAAATATCATATGATGTTATACATTTATAATATTTTATAAACTTATAAATAATAAAATTTATATATTAAATAGTCAAAAGCTACAAAAATATATATAAAAAAATAGAAATTAACAATAATAGTAAATAATTAAATGTCATATTATTACGGAATAGAATATTGTGCAGAATGTAATTTCATATTGTCTTAAATAATTGTATAATATTTAAGTAAAAAATATATTTTTGTATTGCACCCGTACATCGCACGGGTATTAACACTAGTGTAATGTAAACATGTAACCCAACATTTATATATAATAATAATTTTAATTTTACTTACTCGTGTATCGCACCGACTTTAATCTTTTATCAAGGGTGTCGAGTGCGTTTTGGTGTGTGTTTGTGTTGCTTTGTGGTTGTGCTTCTTTCTTCCGTATGAGAATTTTCTTTCTCCACTTGTGAGAGTTGTGTTCTAGTATTGCTAGTTGTTTAGGTAGTGTGTTGTTGTTTAGTCTTGTTTAGGCTTCTAGTTTACAGTCATCTAAACCTGTAGAACTCTCTGGTTTCAGCCTTTTGGGTTGTTTCTTGACCTTTTATGAAATTGTGTTTAATTTTAATATGAGTGTTGCTATTTACCGCACCCACTTTTGCTATTCACCGCACCCAAAAATTCCTCTTTTGCCCTTACTAAAAAGAAATATTAAGAAATTCATTTTTTAATTCAGTTTTTTAACATTAAAAAAACTAAAAAAACGAAAATAAACTATATAATAAATAAATATATATTAAACATATATATATAAATATATATATCTATATATATTTTAAAAACCGAAATAAATATATATTAAATATATATATATATATNATTTTTTTTATTTTATAAATATTTAATGTATATATATTAACATTTATTTTGATTTTTAAATTAAAAAAAAATTTCATGACCGCGGGCGGCGGCCGAAACGCGGCTTCGAGCCGCGTAGACGGCCGCGCTCGACGGCATAATATGAAAGGGCCGCAATTGTGGCGTGGCTCCGCGAGTTCCGGCCCGTTAAAAAAAAAAGTTCGAAAAAATAATTTTCGTCTAAAATTAAAAAAAAAATACTTGGTTGTTCTTTATGATTTTTTTGCGTTCGGCCATTTTTTTTCGCGTTCAAATGCAAAAAACGAAATTTTTTCAATTTTTTTTTTGCTTATGTGAATTGAGAGATGGGAGAGAGAGTGAGGGAAGGGGGGCGGGGAGGTGCGTGCGTTTTTTCTGCGTTTTTCCTTTTTTTTCGATTTTTTTCTTTTATATTAGTAAGGGTATTTTGGTATTTTTTAGGTACGGTATCTGACTATTGGGTGCGATATTTAGTAGTTGAGTTTTAGTATATTTTGCCGTAGAAAATATAAAAAAGAAAAAAACTGTTGCAAAACAATCACCAAATTGTCAACTCCAATAAATTCAGTTCCAAATGCCAGAATTAAAAAATTACAAAAAATACCCCATGATATGCCAAGTGCTCTTTAATTAGTAGACCCATTTAACACCTTTTTAAATTTATTGTTTTAAATTTGATATATTGGCAGTAACCTAGCAAGCTATTATCGTATAAAGACATCAAAATGTGAAATAATAACAATTAATTATTCATTGCCCCCATCTCCACTTTTTGCGCTGTAGTTGTTGGACTCGTCGTTGGGAGCCGCCGGAGCAAACAAGGATGAAGCATCCTTAATTTTACACTCAATCGTACATTTAACAACACAATACAAAGTCCTACCGCCGCACAGACGTAAACATTGAGCAAAACAATCCCCTTCTCCATGAGCCGAAACAATCAACGTCAGCAACATCAACACAACGACTTCCATCCTCGGGTTTTTCATTTTTATAACCAAATCAAATTTGTTGGGAGTTATATATTTTCAAATAATGAATATATTGTTGAAAAGAATCAAGCAGTATATATAGTAGAAAGAAAGTGCGAATTATGGTGATGCAATTAATATAATAACTAGTGCGTATCCATGTGATGCAAGGACCGATTTGTTCTTTAAAACTATTTTTAGAATTTATTTTAAATATAATTGCAAATATTTAAACTTCTCATTCTTTTAACTATAATTATTTGTATTTAAAATATCTCATTAGTGATTTTCTAAATATGAATTTTCTATTATTAATTACCATGCAAATAAAGCAACTAATTAATCAACATAATTAATTCATATGAAAAATAAGGAACTAATTAATTATCATGCATATTAATGTGCATACCTCCATAAATAAATATTATGCATATCAAATAAATAATATGCAAATCTCATAAATAAATAAGTTTCACATTACATGATTAGTAGCAATAAACATGAAAATAAATATATAACTAGTACGTAACCCGTGCAATGCACGAGACAATAATTATAATTGCATCCATTAAAGCAATCAATGAATATTGATCAATATAAAAAATGTTTTGAATATTAGTAATTTTTTTTTTATTTTATGATATATAATAATTTAATATATAACTTATATGTTTATTTCACTCGTTATAAATAGTTGTCATTTTAGATCTTGTTTATAATTAAGGATAAAGAAAATTTAACATATTCAAATATCATCAATAAATAATACTCACATAATATTTCTCTCCCTCTATCTTTTTCTTCTTATCTTACCCATACCTTGTTACAATATAATATTTTGATTTCTAAATAAGTTAGGCTAAAGTTGAAAAGTTGTGACAAATATTATAACCAACACTTAATTGAAAAAATATTACAATATATATTATTTTAATTTTTAGTTACATCAATATTATTTTAATTTTTCTTATGATTTATGATATTATAAATATTTTAATTTTTCTTTCTAATCTATTAATTTATATGAGATATGTTATGTTATTGTGAATCACAATATGAATTTTTGAAAGACTGGTTTGGTGCGGTTATGGATAAAATCAAATGATATTTTGTAACTCCTTGAATAGATGATTTTTGGCATATGACTCGGTACGAAATGAAAAGAAAACAGTAGGGATTTGTTATTAATATTGAGATATCAATTCTATTATAGTATTATGGTAGTTAAATCAATAAGGTTTTTTGCAATTGATTTCTAAATTTATTTTGTACTTATATTTTACAATTATCACACATAGTTCTGTCTACATATGGTTGGATACTCAACAAAATAGGAGAACTTTTTATTTGTTAATAAGGATAAATATTGGCTTGTTATTAAAGATAAATAGTTAATTTTTTTATATTTTGGAAATTTAGGTTTATAATTTTTGTAAATCTGGAATAGTTGAGTTATTGATAAATCAAATAATTCTAAATTGATGCTCTTGATTAAATGCTTTTTTGAAAATACGATAAAAAATATTCTGGTATACGGTTGGTCACGGAATGAATAAGTAATCACTGTGATTTGTTATTAATGTTGATAAATAAGGTCCAATTGTAACATAGTGAAAAATATTATAATAATATTCTATATTTGATTTTTAATTTTTATTTTGTAGTTATATTTGCAATCTTATCGTGCATATTCAAATAGTATTTTCTAAAACGTAATATATATTTAATAGATATTTTTTGAATACATGTTATGTGGTTGGTTACCAAATGAATAAAAAATTGTAATATTCGTAATTAATATGAAGTATCGGATTTTTATTGCGTTAATTATCACAAAATAATTTTTAAAATTCATACCACTTTATTTATATAGAAAGTCATTCTATTAGCCGGATTGCACGAATTACAACAAATAGGTATAGTTTAATTTTTATTTTTTACTATATTTCAATTTAATAGTAAGTCAACCAATTTCGTCGCCTTCAATATCCGCTATAGTCCGTCCAGCGGTTCATGCAAATCGTCGAGATATCTCGGCTGTTCAGTCCGTTGTCCTGCCATTTCCATGTTCAGTTGTCCATCTGCAGCTACGGTCAGTCGCCTTAGTGAGACGTCCAACTGTCAACAACCTTCGCCTAGCAGCGGGGAACATCCAGCACCAGCCATGTCGACCTCATATCTCTGAGCTCCATCGACCCGCCTGTATGGCCATTCTTCAGTCGTCGGTTTTCGGCCAAAACCTGACCAGTCAAACCATCATCAGCCACCTAGGACTTCGTACAATCGCCCAGCCTTCCCGATGCCAACCTTCAGCTGTCAACGTCCGGTGCCCACATCAGTCCGATAATGTCTGCCCACCAACCTTCGTCAGTCCAAACCGCCACCCCACCCGCACACATGCCTTCGCCGCTATCTAGCCGACATCAGTTCGCCGCACATGCACAGGCTGAGCTTCCAGCCATCCGCAGCCTAGCCGAGACGTTCGCTTGACGGACTAGGGGTAATCAACGATGGAGATCTTATAGTCGGCGATGAATCTATATATATATTGGGTTTGAAGGGAGAAGAAGAAACGGGGAAGAACGTGGAATAATGTTTATTTTTTTCCTAAAAGATGATGAAGAGTTTGCTAATTATATGGAAATTAATATAAGACAGACGTACCAAGAAAATATGCGTGTGATTGTTTCCTTTAAATGTTTGGATTTAATTTTTTTTCTTGAAATTTTCTAAACTCATTTAGGCGGGATATTCCAAATTTAAAAAAAAAAAATGTGTAGTAATTCTGAAATTCTAAGCGTGATGTTAGTGGATTTTTCGATACTACTTCAGGTAAATAGGATTGTCTCTTTATATATTAATAGATAAATAATAGATATATAAATTTTAAAATTAAGAAATACAATGAAATGAATATTTTCAGCCAGGATTTTAATATATGTAAATAATTTCTAGTATACCCTTTAAAAAACGTGAATGTTATATATCATAGTATCCTGTTGGGATCAGACACTCGGGTATTATTCTGGTGGGATCTTTGTAGTTTTTCTTTGTTTGTTGTTGTGTTGGGTGTCTTCGAGTCTTGTTTTAGGTTTCTAGCGTTGCTAGAGTCGGGATTCTAGGCGGTCGTCAGACCTGTCCTCCCATTTTATTCAGCTTTTGGTTGCTTTTTCTTTTCCCGTTGGGAACTTTATATTTTTTTTCGCGCTGTTGCGTGTTTTTTGGTTTATATAGATCCTCTATCGTTCTGGCAAAAAAAAAAATATATCATAGTATATTGCATTGTGGAGAGGAGTTTTCTTTATATATTATATTGATAAATAAATTGAAATGTGAGCTATTTGCACATATCCTTAAANATTTAAAATATATCATTGAAAATAAACAAAATTAAAATATTTTTCTACCAAATATCAAGTTTTGAATTTTAAAAATTACCATCATTTTTTCACAAAAATAGCATAGAGGCTTTTTAGTTATTAGTAATTAGTATATGAAAATAAATATAAGTATTTGATTTTATATATTTTGATGGTTTAAAAAGTATAATTTGATCATAGTTTAAATGGATAAGATTTATGAAGATTTATTGCTTTATTTGATCGGCCATAGATTGAGGGGAAAAAAATTCTACTTTATTATTGAAGATATCAATCATCTATTAATATATAAAGAGGGAATGATAGTTGTTTGAAAAAATCAACTAAAAAATCAGCAAAAAAAAATTTCAATTCCCGCCTAAAGTTTCAGAATTACTTTATTATTGAAATATCCCGCTTCTACCAAATATGTTTGAAATTTTCAAAAATTTAAAAATAAGATTTTCATAAAAATTGGGAGCTAAATTTTAGGAAAGATTGAATGCATATTTATTTTAGTATATCCTTGATCTCTTCCAAAAAACTATCACTCTTATCTCTCTACGCTTCCTCTTTTTATCCCGAAATATTTCCGGCCAAAATCGCGATGGCAAAGCAGATCCGTCAGCACTACAACTACTTCAAGCGGTTCGACGGTAGCCTCACCCAGCTCGAGCTCGCTGCCCTCCTCTGGTCTCTCGGCCTCAAGTCCTCTAGCGACCAGATCCACGCCCTCCTCGCCAACATGGACGTCAACGACAAAGGCGCTGTCGACTTCGATGAGCTCGCCGCCGCCATCCTCCCCGACATGGAGATATGAGGGAATATTGATAAATCCACAAAGGGACTTGTGCTCTTACGACATACACTGATAGGGTTTTTATTTCTTTTCTCCATTTTTTTCAACTCCTCACACTCCGCAGCCCCGTCCGCTCTTTCTTTGTCTCAACTCCAGTTTACGCCGCCCGCCGGAGAGGAAAAGTGTTAGACGTCTCCGCCTTGACCTTACCTCAACCTCCGCCTGGACCTCGCCTCTCGCCGCCGCCCCATCCTTTCATATTCAATGCTGAAGTAATCCAAAGCAAGAGCCCGTCTCAATCTATTAGCAGAAATTTGTGGTTGAGGAAGGTTTTCCGTAGCTGGCTTCTAGATTTTTTAAAGTCTCATACAGAGGTATAACTTTTACACTCCTTCCTTTGGTTGTTTTACTGTTGAGGGTTTTGGTTTCTATACCCACTAATTGAAAATTTGATGTGGTCTGTGACATGTGGTTTTGGTTTCTATACCCACTGATTGAAACTCTGATGTGTTATGATGGACGACAGAAGATAATTTTAGGATTTTTGCAATTTTGACCAGAAATTGGATTTATTAATTTTCAGGTTCATATATAACTGACTCTGGAATTTGATCTGGATTTGGAAGATTAATTACCTAATGGCTATCCATATTTTTGGTTGATAGTAGAACTCCTAAATAAATAGAAGTTCATATCTCTATTTGTTTCCGTGTGCAATTCTTCTGTTTCCTTAATCTGCCAATCTACAATCTAGTTTCGTCGATATGAGGTTAGATTTTAACATATTCCATATTCTTATAATTTTTAACTACAAAGCATGCACGTACTAAATTGTCAAGGAGTTTATTGTCAAGGTGATTTTTAATGACATATCTGAAGGCAAAAGACATCAATAACATCTTGATTCTATTAGGGGATCATTTTAGAAGATGCGCACAACATGAAATTTATTCAGGTATATTGAATTTTAAAATATATTTTATTATTTTTAAACTTTAATATATAGACACATTTGTATGAGCTCTTGTTTTATACTTAATAGAACATTGATCTTAATGTTGATATCAAGCTTTTGTGCATGCCGGTTGGTGATAGGTCACCTAAGCTTGATGCAAATATGTAAAACCCATTTGATTTCTTCTACAACATATGTAAACCTCTCTAAAAACCTGGCTATGACTCTAATTTTTTTTAACCTTACTACTCTATCAATTACATTTCAAATAATAGGTGGAGACCCTAATGTTTGTTGTCACTGCCATTTTTTTATGCTAATGCTTATGTTACTGTTCTCTTTCGCCTGAGGTATAGTTGACGGCTGGTGGTGGACTGCACTTATGAACCTCGACGGGGACGAAAAGGATCAATCGAGGACTTTGCTGAATTTCAAACTACCAGCAGCCGGGGGACAGATGTTTGAGAATTTGATAAATTTAAGGGACTTAATTGCAATTTTATGGTTTTAAAAATTGTAGTGAACGTATTTCAAGTGCCAAAGTTGTGGTAATTAGTTTGGAAATTATTTTTCTTTTTTTTTTTCAAGTTCTATTGGCTGTGATTTTATTTATAAAATTTAATTGTCATCCAGCTCAAGTATTTCCATGAGGCTTTAGAGATTGGATGTGGTACAACTTATAGTGTCAATATTTCTATAGTTCCTAAATCACTGAAAGCTGGTAGTCACTAGCGATTTCCTACGAAAATCGCGCAATGGGCACCACAACAAAAGAATCTATAAGTTTGAGTTTGAGTTATGTTGAATCAGATTGAATTGTTGATCACATTGTTGTATTGCAGTTATGATTGTGGATTATTCACAATAAGATTCATGCAATTTATGACGAGCTACGGGCTGGGATGCATTTCAGCATTGAAAACTCACATTTGGAGAGAAGGAAAATTGCTATTGAGATATTCTACCATGAAGCAAATGAAGCCAAGGAAGAGATACTTAGAAAAATAGCGCAATCTTCGGAAGATGTGAGTCCAGCCTCTGCTGTAGCTTCTTAATATTCACCGACAGCTCGGACTTCTGCTCCTTCTTGTAGGTCTTTAATGTTAATCTGTAGGAGTCACTCATTTGTTTACAAAATCGGTGGTAGCTTTTGACTTAATTTCTGGTCATTTATCTGTTTTTCAATGGATCCGATGAATTATATTTGTGTTACAATAATTGAACTTACCTTCATATTTTTTTTATGTTCCTGTAACCTATGGGTTGCTGGCTTTTGGTGCTCAGTTTATCTTGGAAAGGTTAAACTCATAATTGAGCAGTTAGCTAAATGTTAACCAGATGAGTTTTGTACTTTTAAGCATCTTTGAGTTGTACAGTCTTATATGATATCTTGGACACAGGGTTCTTATATGATATCTCATATTGTTCTTTCAATACAATTTTAAGAAAGTTGTATTCTAGGAAGAGTTAGTTTGGTCATCTCATCCTGCTCTGTTGTCTTAATTTTTTATCAATTACTATTATGGGTTATAAGCCGTTCCACAATTTAATCTCAAACAAATGTGCTTAGGTAAAACAGATAAAACTCTGATACCAAAAAGGGCATGCTTAGAAATATTTTATCTGAGAAAGATAATAATAGCATGCTAAGGAAATTCTGTTTATAAACAAGACTGAACAATTGAATTATTATAACAGGACTGAACAATTGAATTATAGACATTCAGTTAGTAAAAAGTTTGCAGCATATCAAGTAAATTTAAAACTCTTCACATGTGAATTACAAATGGTGAATTAAAAGATAAAACAAATGCATGCTTCCACTTGAATATTCCGAACATGTTATGTTTCAAAACAGATTTAATTGCACATGTTATGTTTCAAAACAGATTTAATTGCTTCAGGTTTGTATGATGTATCTACTTTGTTCAGGTTATACTGGTTTCAAATGTGCTAGGTTTTAACACCGAGATTACAACAAGGCCTCCTTTTCTCTTCAAAACTCATGCCACTAAAACCAATTGAAGTATCCGAATTCGTTCTAAAACTGAATGTCAAACCTGAGCAATGGAGCCCAAATTAATTATATTGTCTAATGTGTGCTAACATTTGCTTACAACTGAATTATTTTAATCCTTAACTCTGCTGTCTTAATTTCTTTTACAGATACCATAATCTCAAACTTTAGACTTGCTTTTAACAATCTACTATTGTATAGAACTAGCATCTCGAGTCTCAACAGCAAAACCAGCTCAAAAATCTCTTAACCTAAAAAAAAATAAACAAAAAAAGTGAACAGAAAAAGAGTGACAGAAAGAAAGAAAAAAGCCATAGAAAATCATAGAAACAAATTTGCATAAAACTCAAATACTCCATTAGATAGTCAAACAAATCATAGAAAAATGTTCTAACACACTAAGTAGCTTAACTTGCAAGCCCATTATGCATTAAGCTAAAAAGAAACAAAAAACTTTCACTCTTTGTCCGAATCGGTCTCTCTAGTAGTGCGTGATTCTCCGGCCAACGATTCTGTCAATGGTTTATTTTCCTACATGCCAACACCAATAGAAAAATTATAACCAAGAACAAATGGAAGAATGAGTAAACAAATTGGACATTTAACTAAATAATGGAACTTACACCATTTTCTCCAAAAAGACCCTCGGTTTCCCATTCATTTATCATCCGCATTTGACAATCTTCAATCCTTTTCTGTAGAGTTTCTGGAAGCTTCGAAACATCTATTCTCATAATACGAAGTTGTTCTTGTCTCTTTTGAGCTTTCTTCTCAAGTTGCTCTTTTTTGGTGCAATTCTTTTTCCTTTTAGAAATCTCGTAGCAAACATCCCGTTCATTGCATTAGCGTTGTATCCATAGGTCAGAGGTGACAGCCAGTAGCCCCAACCCCACCAGTCCGGAATTTGGTCTGAAATTGAACAAATTGTAAGAACGAGTTCCAAGGAAATAAACAAGAACCTAGGTTCAAAATTACCACCGTTGGTTCTTGTTGAAGTGCAAAGAAACTAATGGTTCTGTCTTTCAAATGAAACCACGGAAGATTCCTTCAAGTGCCAAAGAAACTACAAAAGTTGGAGAAACCAAGGGCCCGCAGAATAAAAGACCGTTCCAATATTCCATGAAATGGCAAACAAGATTAAAAGCAAACTGAAATGGATGCAAGGAAATGAAGATGTATCTAAAACATTTGAGTATCTGGAAATCCAGAACGATGATATTTCCATCAAGCCGAGAAGAGTTCCCAAAGACAGGGCCATAGCCTCAAATATACCAATGCCAACAGCTAAAGTTAAAAGTTGTGGAAACTGAGGATAGCTGCAGCTTTTTTACAACATCAATAAGAGATTCACTGACTAAGATGATATCACCAACACACTTCTACCCTCAAGAAATTGACAAGAGATACTGAACAAAGTGGTTTCACATGATATCAGACTGAAATCTGTCAGTATCATGATAAGTGCTTAACACCAACCTGTTGCTGAGAACCTGCCTGCATTGTTTGATATGCTTCAGGCAAAAGGATGCTGCAACACTGAGGAGAGGAATGTTGAAAAGCTTCGAGATGACGTTAAAAAGTGATACAGAGACACCAGCTGAAGCCAACTCCACAGAACCTATATCATGTGTACATCGCAAGAAAAAGGTTATGATACTCCAAGCTACTAACAAAGTTCATCGAGCTTCTCAGGCGACGAGGTGAAAGCCTCAACAATCCGCGTCAAATGCATATTCCAAAACCTAAAAATCACACAAAAGAATATACAGGTATTAGTTTATCAGGTCACATATGAAAAAGGAGAACCTACGGATGAATCCAAGTAAAATGGCTGTCAGACTACAATGCACAACAATGTAAATCTCATCTTGGCATCAGGATACTATAAGAGATTTGTCAACAACGGTACAGCCTCCATAACGATATCATCAAGAATGAACAAGATTTAGTTCAGATCACAAAAGATTGGACTTATCTATTTGAAGTCACCAGACAACACAAATTAATAGTGAAAATAGCCAAAAAAATAAAAAATAAAAATCCATTTGACATTTTGACTTGAGTTTTCACAAGTGCAATAAGAACAAAATCAGAAACGACAAATTTAATCAAATCAGAAAGCATTGAAATCGTTATAATGTTAGAGAGGGTAATATGATGCTCTGGAAAAAATTGGAGAATCTCATTTTTAAAGCTCAGGTTCTTCCACTTTGATCGCGAGCTTATCCCATTCTCTCCATTCGGATGCTTGTTTGACTAGAAGTACCCAAATAAGCATCCACAGTACTTGGATCAAACGAAAACAACAAATCCTGTTTCATAAAGGTTAGACGTATGGAATGTTTAATACTATATTGTGTTTTAATTTATTTTTTTTTTTAAAAAGTTGTTCCCCAAGCTTTGAAAATGATCCTCCATGATAATGAAATAAATAAAAAAAATAAAATCCTGAATTTATCCCTACACACACAACCACGCCGCACAAAATTATGCCGAAAAAAAAAGAAAGAAAAAAGCACATCACGCGAAAACAAATTCGTCAAAATACAGGAAACACTCACCCACTATCGCCGAGGATGATGACCTTGAGAAGAACTCTTCTACGTGACGGCATCGTTTCGATCTCGACTGGAAACTCAGATTCTCAAACTGTATATAGAAAAAGCAAATGAGGCTTTCTGCGGCATGAACGAGCCAAAAATTGGACATGATTGAATATTGAAAAACGAGAAGTTGACATGAGCACACTCTAGGGACCATCTCAACGGGTAGGAAATGCAAAATCTAGTATATAACTCCATATACACCTCATGTTCAAACCATAACATATGAAAAATAAGACTTAAATCTCGACCTTCATCAAGACCACTCCTAAAGCTTAAGAAAAATAAGATGAGGGTAAGGTCTTTTTCTTGTTCTGGATAGAAATTTAACAACACACAACAGCCCTTACACAGCAACCAAAGAAAACTTGTTAAGTAGTGTTTGTTTACTCACAAATTGATAAAGCAAATGTTGTCAGTAACAATGGAAATCCTCTTCAAGTCGAGCGGAGTGGCCAAGTCGAACCCTTCAATTAGAGCTTCGAAATCCAAAAGCTCCGGATTCGCTTGTCCCTCTTTCCCCCTGCAAAATTTGCTCACCCCAACACCTCCAGTAATTCCCTCCGTCAAACCCTTGAGATAAACCCAAAAACTCGAGCTTTTGTTGGTATTATTACCTGACGAATGCGAGACCTCACAGTAGGGATTGTTCACTTATCCCCAATTTTCCTCTACTCGGCCTCCGAAAAATTCCCCATCTCGAGGGCCAGGGCGTGGTCGTGGGCCTGACGGCGGAGAACGTCCGGGATGAGCTCCGCCTCCGCCTGGTACTGGCAGAGTATGCATCATAACAGGGGTTTGCGGTGGGAAAGGCGCCGCCGTCGGGGATGGAACCGGTGAGTGGTTGTTCGTCGGGGATCTTGGAGGTGGGTCCGGCGCCGTCGTCCTCCATCGCTCGGTTATGTATAGGCGCAGAGGCTCGACAAATTGCAGAAGTCTTAGCTCTGGAAAGGAGTTAGGGAAAGAGAGGAACCCTAGCGCCAGAAAAATCGAGAGCTCTGTTGCCTGTGGGGAGAGCCGTGAGTCGATCGCACTTTGTCTGAAACCGGAAGCAACTTGCTGTAGCCGGTTGTAAACTCCTCAAGGGAAATGATCACATGCTGCGAGCCTACTAAACAAAAGTGATTTGTCAACTTTTTATTGGCCCAGACATAGCGCACCCATCCCGCGAAAAGGCACAACGGGACTTAAGTTATATGCTCTAGTTATTTTTCTTGTAGGTATTGTGTAATAGTGTTGGAAACGAAATCTATAGGTATTGTGTAATAGTGTTGGCAAAAATATGTCTAGAAAATTTGTGAGTAATTGGTAGTCATATTTTGTAGAGGATGATGTTAGCAATCTGTTGACCAAAAATTCTGCGGAAAAAATATCTCTCGATATTTTGTAGTGTTGGTACAAAAATATGTAGGTAATTTGTGGGCAATCTCTAGCTATTTTTTGTTGTTATATTTGTAGTAATATTTTGTAGATATGCTCTAGTTATTTTCTTGTAGGTAATATGTTGGAAACGAAATCTATAGGTATTGTGTAATAGCGTTGGCAAAAATATGTCTACAAAATTTGTGAAACTTATATTTGTCACGGAGTGCGCTAATTGTAGTACGAACTAAAGTAAGAATTTGTAAAATGCGGAAGCAAACAACCGAAGATTAATAAACTCTTCAGGGAAGCGTCCCACTTCCCCTCAGAGCTCTTTCATTGATAGATCACTCGTATACATAGTTTGGACTTACAAAGATTCGAACTCCCTTCAAATCTAGCCAACACTACTTGATCCTATCAACTAATTCTCCGGCCATGTCCCGTGGACTTATAAACCTACACTTATTCCCTAAGTGTACAAACCATAAAATAGTTTTGATGAAATGTATAAAGAACCAAACGAAAGCAGTACTAGTCCTTGAGTTTGTAAGAACTCTCAGACTGAACTGAATACAATCAAACTAGAACTGAAAGCAAATGAAGCTTGAATGGCTCTCGAATAATTCTTTGTGAAAATCCACGGCCGCCATAAGCTTCTTCTAGGGTATATATATGATCTCCTTAGGGTTGGAGTCTTCTACAAAGCATAGGACTTCAAACAAGATTTCCTTCCAAGATAATGGCATATCTTTGGTAAGAAATCTTTTCTTCTCTCTCATTAATCTCCTCTCCAAGCATGTCTCTTTTCTCCCTCTTCTTTGTCTCTCCACGCGCAATTTCCTATCATATCAAAACCGTAATAAGATCTACACGAACTTATATAAGAAATATAAAACAATATTACTTAAGAAAATATAGTATACAAAGATCTTCCCTTTTATTCTGTGGTTCCAGATGCTTGTTCGAACTAATCGAACTAATGCCAAAATAAAATATCTTTCAATCTCCCCCTTTGGCATCTAGTTCGAAAACATCAGACTTGAAAGTCTCCTACAGCAATAAGAACAACAAGCACCCACAGATAAAAGCAAGTAAGGATTAGTTTAATACATCACAAGTTCTCCTTAAAGCAGTTCTCTCCCTTAGTTCCTGCAGTCATCAAGATTCAACAGAATGCTTCTAAATTCATTTCAACCATAGATAGTAAGGACAACAAAACAACTGCATTAATCCCATAAAACAAACTTAGTAACAAACAGCAAATAACCAACAGCAAATAACAAGCTTCCCTACAACCCTCAAAACACACAAAGAAACAAAAACTACTCCAATCTAACTACTCCTCATCTCCAAGCTTTTCAGTGGCATCATCAGACTCTTCATCCTCCTTCTCAACGCTCTTACTAGCAGCAGAAACCTTCTCCCCCTTTTTCGAACTACGGGATGCCTGTAATGCCCCGTTTATTTGTGGATTATTTGGGATTTATTATTATTATTTTTTTTTATGATTGCTATTATTATTATTATTAATAGGTGATAATATTTATATTTTATTTTATTGAATGCTATTATGTTTATTTATTTGTCAAATGTGATTAAATGCTAAATTGTGAAATTTGTCTAATTGTTTAATTGATTTTGTGATTTATTAAATTATTAATGTGAATAAATGTGTATGTGATAATATGTAAAATATATTTATTTATCTTATCGGTTTATTTTTATCGTACGTTTGCATTCGAAATCGAGCCCGATAATTTTTGTTGTAATCGAATTGGGCCCGAATATATCTGTTTAAATTTTTATTTGAGCCCGTGAGCTAATTTTTGTTGTCCCAACCGGCCCAAATCTTATTGGCCCAAAATTTCTCGGGCCCGGCCCGACAGATTTTCCTTTTCTTTTATTTTGGGCGTGATTTTGTGTTGTCTTGGACAACAAGAAATTTTGTTCTTTTTCCAAACCTAATATCATCATGTATAAGTATAAATATATATATATAGTCCTTCTTGTCTGTTCTTCCTCATTGCCGCAGTTTTTTTTTTGTGATCGTCTTCCCTTCCATCTCTCTCGCTATCACGCGCAGAGAAGAAAAATAAAAAAAAAAAAAAGAAAAAAAGAATAATCGATCGTCCTTCATCACCCCTCCTCATAGATCTTCCTTCATCATCACCATCATCACGCTCGCGCGTCATCATCACCATCTCATCACCTTCGTCATCATCGTCTAGCATCCTCTTCATCCGCCAGTTGAATTTTCCGGCGACCTTGAGCTAATTCCGGCGGCCTGCAATTTCCGGCGAGTTCGGTTCTGTGAGCAGCCACGACCGCCGACGAGCCCACCTTGCAGCAACTTCCGGCGACTTTTGTTCGTCCTTCGAGCAGCCCACGAGCCCGACGACGTGACCACTTCCGAGCCTTCTTCTTCGGCGAGTTTCTTCCCCGCGAGCAGCGAGCCTCCCTCCGCCTGCGAGCTCTTCTCCGGCAACCACTGCGTAGCACCTCCAACGAGCCCTTCAGCCGCTGCCCCTTCTCTTTTCCGGCGAGACGAGTTTACCGTCGAGCTTTCGTGTTCGTGACGTTTCGAGTTTTCCCGAGAACGGTACCTCGTCGTTTGTCCGTCTCGTTTAATTCACATATGCTCGTTGAGTTGTTCGTATTCATGTTGTGCTCGTATTATATATATATGATGTGAATTTAATTGTTGAATATGTGCTAATATATGAATTGTTGTGATAATTGTATTCGTATGCTCGGGATCTCTTCGATTTTCTCGAAAATCGAACGAGACCTCGAAAGTCGTGTAAGTCGGTGGATAATGGAACAATGTCGAGTCCTTGGTCTTATGAAAAGGCCTCGGACGATAAATTGTGTGTTGTGATTTAATTGTCAAGTTGTCGAGTTCATTAATCGCTGTTTTGATGTTCGAATTTTTAAAAATAGCTCGCTGCTCGAAACGATGTGAAATTTTGAGGGATGGGTTATCTGTTCATATTATGCCTTGTGAAAATTTTCATAATTTTTGGAGACCTGTAGCTATATTTAATAATTAATTTATATTCTGTCCAGAATATTGTTAAATGCATAATAAATTCATGCTTGGCTGAAATGAGCTGAAATTCAAATATGTCGTGCCTCTGTGACTTATATGTGTTGTGTTAAATTTTTGGAATTTTTGGAGTTGATTTGATATGGAAAATATTTTATTTATTGATTCGGCAGAAATGTTGTTTGAATTTTTAAAACTCGGTTACTGCATGGAAAATTCTGAAATTTTGCTGAGAGTCATATTGTAGGTGTTTGATCATGTTTGTAAAATATGGGAATTTTTAGAGTCCGTTTGGTTTCAGTTTGGATTTAAATTCGATAAACTGCTGTTGCTCGTTTGAATTTTTAAAAATAGCAGCAGTTATCATTTAAGGCTGAAATTTTTATAAGTGGACTTTGGCCTACTGAGTGTTGTTGTGTAAAATTTTCAGGTTCAGATTCGTTCATTAAGTCTGAGTATGGATTAATGTGCCCTTTTTGCTGAATTACTGTTCGAATTTTATAAAATAGGATATTTCGAGTTTAAAGCTGAAAATTTGTGATTTTACATGTTTCTGGGAGATAAAATTTTGTATAAATTTTCAGAGCTTAATTCGTAGGATATCTAGACCTTTTATTTTTCACGCGATTAAATGATTTCAATTTTCGAGCATAATTGTATATGAAATTGGGATCGACTTGCTTTTTGGTTTTTATGTAAGTTTGACTTGGTCAAACCTTAGATGGATTTTTGTGAACTCCCTTAAGTATTTTGGTCGTGTTTAGTGCCGAGTCTTAGTGTTCCACATCCACAGGACTTCACGAACTACTTAGTCGGATCGAGTTCGACTAGGTCTGTCTTGTGATTTCCAGTTTAAGTCGAGATAGATTCTGATTGTAGGATCTTGACATCGTGTAGGTGTCTAGAGGTGTTGATCTTGCCTTAGTACGAGATTTGTGACTGTGAAACGTGCTGCTATCAGGTGGGTACATTTATGATGTATTCCATATTTATCGCACTTATTATTTCGTGTAATGCTTTCTTTTGAAAATTATTGTATGCATGAGAACTCTAGTCTAAGTGTCCCGAACGATAGTGCCTTTGACGAATGCATAACAGTGAGAGGTCACCTGCCCGTTGTATCCGGGAGGAGACGCCCTGATCCGTGTGAGTTTCGGGGGGGAAAAACATCTCCACTGTCTCCTGGAAAACATCCATGATCCGTGAGTAGTTCGGGGTGGACTCCCATGATCCGTGTGAGTTTCGGGGTGGGGGAAATTTTCCAGTTACGGCCTTGCCGATGTTTGGTCGGAAGGTTGTTGTATGTACATAGGAGATTTGCGATAGGGCCGGGTAGGGGGTTTAGACTGTTGGATTCTATGCATACTGATATTTGTGTTACTGCTTTTTAAAATAATTATGCGGGATAACTGTGCGATAAAGGTGAGCTAGTTGGTTGCTCACCCCCATTATTTTCTTTGTTGTTTTCTCTCTTCCTTTGTTTTAGGTTGAGACGAGCTGGAGGCGGTGGCGTAGGACGAGCGAGATGGTGGTCATATGTGTCGATAAATCTATGCTTCCGCTTAAACTCGAACTTTAATTGTTTGCTATTATTGCCTTGGATTATTTACCGCTTTCACTTTTCGAACTTTGTTGAATTGGGTTGAACTTTGAATAATGTTGGA